AGTTCAATAAAATTTTGAATGTGAGTCAACAAATGCAATGACATGGCTTTTGACCCATGACCAGTCTGGAGAGGGTTTCTGTATGTAATTTAGAGTAACATTTTAGTAGAAAATGGGATATCTAGATGGGCCTTTAATATCCATTGGAAATGGAAATGTAACTTCTTATTAGAGCAGTGAAAATAAAAAAAAGGGTAATCATTATTTTATTTAAAGAAAAATGACCTAAAGGCTTTTAATTGAGGTTGGTAAAAATGTTGAGAGTTTGAGTTGAGGCATGTGACATAAACGAGTAAAAAAAATCTATTGCTAATTTTGACATATCTTGCAGTTATGTCATTAACATCGACCAGATTGTGCACTTGCTAGTGATAGTTTGGTTTATCTGCTTATAGTAACATGTTGTTATGTGTAACCCAAACAATAAACTGATATAGCTACAACATGATTTAGAGAAAAATATAAAGAAATAGTTAAGTTCATCATAAAATAAAAATGTCTTGTCTGTATTTTGGCCCTATGATTTTCAAAACTGTCTATAACATTTCCCACAAGTGCTGCAGTTTTTGTACAGTTATTCTGAAGTCAGTTTTTCTATTTTGTGTTTAAGATTATAAAAGTTCGTGATGATATGATTATTGAATGTTTCTTGTGGACTTTTGTATCTATAAGCTATTCAGACAGCATGAGATCAATGATAGCATTTACCATAAGTTTAGAACAATTTTTTGTGGTTTATACTTGACTAACAAACCTTCCTAGAATTTGTATGAAAACTAGTATAGGTACTATATTAATAAGATGTTTATATTTACTCCAGGGTTTGATTCCCTACTGTGGACAGAGTGCAGATAGTCTGTTGTGTAGCTTTGCACTAACAATAACACTAAGATATTTACAACTGAAAATTCTTATGATTTGTCATGGACTTTTGTGGCTTTTATTTCCACAGATATATAGTTCATATTTTTTGTTATATTGCATAAGACAGATTAATATTAATAGGTTTCACTATAGTTTAATAACTTTTTTTTTATATTTTGGACCATGCCTCTAGATCTCCCAAACAATTAATGAGTAAGGTGTGAGATCTTATTTTATAATTCATTTTTTCATTTCAGTATTGAAATTTACAACTGCATACTGAAGTTAAACGTTTTAAAAGATTCTTTATGTTTGAAGCACATCAAGCTTCATGCATCTTAAATCTGGATACATGATGATGATGTTTTTATAGCTTACATTGTAAAATTTTAAAAGTTTTTTTTTAGTATGTCAAGATTATTTTGGTATAAATTCTTTAAAGTAGTATTTTAGTGCACTTGCAAATGCATAGTATTTTTGGTTAGGTTTAAATTATAATTTGAAAAAAAAAGTCTGAATTTTTGTATAAATTTGTTACATATACATGGTTATTATCAACTTCAGAGTCATTTCATTCTTAGTTATGATCAATTCTGTTTGAAATGTGTAGTTGGTTGACAGTGTACTCCATTTTTCCAGGATCCTGCTGGGATATTTGAGCTAATAGAAGTTGTTGGAAATGGTACATATGGTCAGGTTTACAAGGTAAGCAAGTTTCATTTTTTCATATTTGAAATTTTATTTTGCATCTAGCTTTTTCCCATCTTATAGGATTTGAATTATTCAAGAGGTATTAAAGCATTCCGTTTGTGTTTCTAATTAGAAACTTGTAACAACTTTGAACCATATGTGATCCTAAATATGCTATTTTGTTAATGCTATCAGCTTAATTACATGCATTTGAAACTGGTTTTCCAAGTTGGTAGAACAGGTATGGTCACAATCGATGATTCACAACCAAATTCCCCCAGGCTAAGGGTAGCAAATTCAATAGGTCTTTGTTTTTATGTTGTTGTTTTTTCTTTCTTTTTCAAATTATTGTGCTAATGTTGAAGCAGATCTTTTGTCATATATATCCGAGTATAATAACCTGGTAATGTAGTAAGGTTTGAATGGGAATTTCGGTCATTATTAGATGTTTTTTAGTGTGTTGTGTATTATCCAGTTAAGTTCTGTTAGACATTAGTTCACAGTATGGTATTACTATTGAAGGAAAATATTGCTCCCCTGAAAAGTACACTTGATGTATTTGTACATTGATATGTTTCAAAAGTAAAATGATTCCAATCTAAATTTAAGACTGTATTTTCTTCTTACAATGTAAGTTTTAAAATTGTAGGTTCATTTAAGTGAGTGTTTGCCATAATAATTTTACCATATGTATTAAAAAAATGTATTTATAAACACTAGAATTTTATCAGAAGCTATTTTAAGGCTGAATTAAAACTTATAATTAATTTATTTTTTATGAAGTTGAATATAACATTGTGACATTAATAAAAAAATGTTTTATTCTATATAAGTAAGTGAAAATACACAACTTTAAAATTTTTTGAAAATCACTTACATTCAAAACATTTTTTTTTCTCAGAAATATTACTTGAAAATTTATGCTCTAGGTTTTAGCCCTTACATTTAATGTAAATGCTGTAATCATGCAAGAAAACAAACAAGAGGTACTCAAATCACTAGAACAACCTTTTGACCATTATCAAGTTCAATGAATAAAAGAGAATTGTCTGAGATGCTTTACCTCAAGTTACAAAGATCTAAAAACAGCAATAAAAAATATAATAATAGTAAGAAATGTATATATATATAGACACACACACAGCAGGTTATAGTATGATTTATGTTCTTTCCTTGTAGCTGTGTATATTTGCTGTGTTGTGCATGAAAGTTATGATTTCAGAGGCTTCTGTGTCAGTAGGATGTAAACTTTGGACTTGAAAACAAGTTATCTGGAGTAGGAAGTGACATACCCTATTTTATATGTATTTTATGCAAAATAATGTTTTTACTAAACATACTGCACGTTGGAACTATTAGATTTGAAAAATCAGACAAGTGCATTTTAAACAGGTGTTTTACAAAGCTTGTACATTTTGATCCTTTTGTGTTGAACACAGTGGTATGGATTTAGCTGCATATCGTTTACATACATTAGTGCTATTTTTTTTTCTTCATGTAGTAATTAGCTGGTGCTGTTAAGTCTACTTCAGCAATCATTTGAAAAAAACTACTTCTGCTATTATCACCTGCAATATCGTTTTCACTTTATCCAAGGTGCCTCAACCACAAGAAGTACTGCTTATAGGGTTACACAAGCATTATAGATTTTAAACACTGTAGATTGTCCTTTATTTAAAAAATACTGAGTTGTATCATTTATTAAATGACAAAAGACTAAATTTTTCTAATGCAATTACACTACATTTTGTTTTTTATCATTTTAAATACTAATGAAAGTTGTTCATTCAAAAGAATACAAACTCAGTAGTTTTTTAATACAATGGCTTTTCAGTCATCAGGTATTTTGTGGGACACATAAATTTGATAGATGATGAAAACATTTATCTGTCTTGACTTGTTATTTATTAATCTTATATATAGACACAAATGGCTATTATTGACTAAATAAAATGAAAATTCCCACTTTTTATATTAATAATTACCTAAACATTAAAGTTATCATACATGTTGAGCACCTAGTCACAATTTGTCACAAAATTCAAACTTAATTATTTAAGAGCAAGTATTGTGATAATTTAAAGCTTTATTTGAAAATATTTAGGTAAAAAAAATTCAAATCTGTTTTTAAAAATAGAAATTTTAAATTTATAATTTGTTAATATTATTTTAACATTAAGATAAAAAATAATTAGCTTTGCAGACAACACTGGTTAATCAAATGTAGATAACATATTAAAATTACATATATTTATTCAGGAAGTATAACTTAGAATAGTCGCTCGCTACATTAAAAAATGTGTTCTTAGAAACCTGTTACAGGAAACATGAATATTTTCTTTTTTACTTTATTGCTCTAGTTTAAACAAGCCTCGTATCTAGTTTCAAATGTGCGCACGCACAACTTCATTCAGTCAAAATAAATAATTTGGAAATAATATATTCTCTTTAATGATATTTAATGGGAAATTTAAATGACATGAAGAATAAACAACAACTAAAAAGATAAAAGTTCTTAGACACTACTGAGATTCTTCTAGTAACAAGGGTTCATTCTGGCTGTTAACAGTCACAGAAGGCTGGGTTTAAATATGATACTTAATTTGTTGTTACAGGTAGAAGTTATTATATATTGTTACTATTGATTTTAGGCATTTAATTAGAACTTAAGAAATATTAGGATAAACTTTTTTTTTATCATTTGGTTTAACAGCCACAGATTTGGATGTACATGTTTTTGTAATTGGTAAACATTTTAAGTGATCAAAACTTATGCATCTTATCACAACTGTAAATCAATTTAAATACACCCTTAATGTGCATGCCATACATAAAAGGTGAAGAGAAGCAAAAGTTTCTGACCACACCCGAGTCATCTTTCAAACACCGAAATTTTCTTTGAGGCTTGAAAGATTTTTTAAGCCTAAATGCCTGCCACAAATTTTGTTTATTTTGTCATACATAAATTGTTTTTATTCCTTATATACTTCAAGTGTTACAAGTCTTGATAAATCATGTTTTAACAATAATTTCTTTATATATAGTCCAGCTCAATAAGTCATGTTTCACAACCATATAGAACTTAGCAGTCCCTCTGTTTTGTGGTTTGCCTTATGTGATCAAAATAGGCAAATAGTGTCTTAAAACCTCATACAATTAAGATATATAAATCGTATGGTATCCCATGTACAGTATAATCCATATTTAGCAATTACATTTTATATACAATTTGACCATATTATACTTTCTTGATGTACAAAACATGTTTTAACTTTAATATGCATTCAAGAGGTACAGATAATGTTCTCTTTGTAATTTATCTAGTAGTTGGTCCTGTTACATATGTGACTGTGATGTGTGTTCACAGAACTAATATACTCTGTTCAAGTCCACTATCACTGAATGCTTCATGAAATCTACTGTTTATGTTTGTATCTGGAACAAACAATGCACTATTCAGAAAATACTGTTTAGTGAGAGTTTACTGTTACACACACATAAATATATAGTATGTATTATATATATATATATATATATATATATATATATAATAAGTTATTTTTTATTTTTTATTTAGTAATTAGTATGTCACATTAATTTT